CAAATCTCCCTACACAGTAGCCCCATCTGAACAAATTATGAAAGCTTATTTTTCCCCATGGTGGGAAATACCTGAAAATGAAGTGAAAAGAATTATAATGTTAAAACATGCTGTCAACTGTCAAACAATTATCTACTTAAGCTTTTCATAAAGAAATAATTGTTGCCCAAAAGAATTCTGAAGCTGAAGGAGAAAAACAATTCTTAGCATTAGCTTCCTCACTAATGATACGTGACAACCAGCAAGGATTCCATTTCAAAAACAATACTAATGAATACAACTTCCCCTGTAAACAAGTCACATTTTCACAACTTCAAAACGTATTTCAATTATTATAATATTTTATAATCAAACATACAAAAGCTGCAAATCCATCAACAAATCACCCTTTTAAGGGTCCCACAAAGGTAAAGCAAATGGTGTGTCATGCTAGCGAGGAGGTTTTCTGGATTTTCTTCAGCACTCCCAAACGTGTTTAACAACAGTGCAAAGTACAGTCCAAAAATCAGTTAGGCTGACTTGGTTTAAACTCTAACCTGTTAAACTCATAACAAAAGTCCCCATCTCTTGAGATATTTAAACTTCTTGGTGTGCTGTAACCTCTCTCTCTTGCTCTCCCTGTCCCAGACTTACTTTCTCTCTCTCTCTCTCTCTCTCTTTTTCTCTATCTCTCTCTTTCTCTTCTCTCTCCTGTGCCCTCCTCTCCATCTGCAAAACCTTTTTCTGTCTCAGAGAAAGACCAGTCTCCCAGCACTCCCACCTCTTTCCCCCTTCAGACAGGACACAGTCTGGTGACTCAAGGCATCCCATAGGCCAGATTTCCTTCTGTGCAGCCCTTTGGGTAGAACTGCTAATCCTTCTTATTAATTAATGAGATAATGGTGGTTAATTGGAAAGCAATATTAATGTGAACTATCTAGGAAATTTCACCCAAATTATTTGAGCCTAGGGTTGGTTGTTTTTGGTTTTGGTTTTTTTTTTTCCGCCTAGCATGTAAAACTGTGCCCTGAAAATTTGGCAACATTTTGATGCAGAATTGATAACACAAGAGAGGCTGATTTGTAGCAGACATTAACACACAGGTTTCTTCAGTAAAGTTTCCTTTCTTTCAACATTTCCACTGCTTCACATTACAGAGAGAAAAGCAGGTCCCCTCAACACGTTACCATAAAATTGGGAAGAGTGGAAATTGAGGGAAGTAGAGATTGCATGCAAAATAAGCAGTGAGTGATGTGACTGAAAGCAACAGTCAGTCAGAATGATTGCATTGCATGTGCCTACATCCAGCGTGTCCTTCCTACATTTGTCATAGTACACCCTGCATCCTATGGGACTCATCTGTCCCAGGAAGGTGTGGCAGGCAAGGCTTGCCTGCTTTGGGTTTTTTGTTTTGTTTTGTTTTGCTTTGCCTTCAGGAACGCAACAACAAAGGCAATATGGGGAATAGGTACCACCTGCCCATAATCATTGGCCATCCTTAATATCTTTGGGAAAACAGAGATCACTTTAGAGCTGTTTTCCCTGTCACAATCTTTTTATTTAAAGAAAAAAAAAAAAAACACTTCAAAAAAGGAAGGGTTTTATATCAGCTAAGGTTTGCTGCAGCAAACAAGCAAGCAGCTTTCATTCAGGGATTGTCAAAAACTTTCCAGTGTGCCCACTGCAATGCGGATGCCAACCAACGAATCAAAGGCATTCAGCAACTAGACAAAGAGGGTCTGATGCCAACCTCGGTGCCACTGGCAACCATTATTGGCATCAAACACAGTGTCTGCCTTTTTTTTCCCCCCTCGCCTGGCACTTCACAAACAAAATGGCGGTTCTTGTAGCAACGAAACAGCCGAAGCGCAGCCCTCTGAATCAATAACATCAAATGACTTTATGGATTGAAACACAGTCCCACATGATGTGTACATTTTAGGTAAAGTGGGAAAGGAGCTATATAATCTTATAAATATCTAGATTGAATATGATTCTATGCTAATATGAAGAAACAGCAAAATGGACTAAACTGCGGTCAACCAGACTATATGCACAGAAGAAGCTATTAACAAAGAGATTTCGCATTAAAGAAAATACTGCCCTGTGATGCAAAAGTCTGACGAACTATCTATCAGCAATGATTTCAAAATGCATGATTTTTCCCCAAAACCATATCAGAGGCAGATGTAGTACTACAGCTTGTGTCAAAGCTCTAGTAACTCTTTCCACATTTCAAAAAAGATGAGACTGCTGGGCATGAAGAAGGGGGGGAAAAAATGTGGGTTGAACCAAAAGAGAAATAGGGAAGAGGAAAAGCACAGGAGTTGGTCCACACTGGGACTGTATCATACGCTCGTCTTTATTTCATCCCCCAGAAGAGATGCGGGACACGATCTTGTAAAAATAACCAAAAGGACTATTGACATTTCTAGATCTGGAAATTGTCAATATATTGTAACATCACTCCACTCTGCAATGCGGATGCCAACTAACAAATCACAGGCATCCTGAGCTAAACAAAGAGGCTCTGATGCCAATCCTGGTGCCAGTGGCAACCATCTTTGGCATTCTCTCTGTTCTTTCTCATGTCTTTTTTTTTTTTTTTCGTTCTAGTCGTTCAGAAGCGGAAAGATTTTTTTTTTAAATAAAATAAAAAGGAGGGAAAGGTAAATTGTGTTGCACATTCTACAGCACACATTACCTCTTTTCTGATTTTTTTTGTATCTCTTTATACTCTTTTACGTGATTTATAAAATGGGCTTCAGCGGATTTTCGTGTACTTAGAGAAGAAACAAAAAGGCACAATGTGAAATAGGCAGTCCTCTGACTAAAGACTTATCTTAAAATCTGCCTTCTTTAATCAAGTACATTGCAAAGATGATATAATTACACTACACTTGACATGTATTTTTTTTTTCCAAAAAAAATGCAAAACACAAAGGCATCCTGACATGACTTTTTCCAAGAAGAAGTCAGCTAAGGAAAATGACACAGTGAAAGGTAGCAGGGACAGAAATCAGACACACAAGGTCACAAAATGAAAGGTTTGCACCAGAGAGGTTTTATAAACAATAGTAAAATCAAAAGTTTTTTCTGAAAATACGGTCTTCAAGAGTTGCTTAAAACTTTTATGACAATCATGATCGATGGTACAACGCAGAAGGCATTTATGCATTTTTCTTTTCAATCTATCTTCACAGATCCAAAGGATACATTTTTTATTGTCACTTCATCAAAACTAAGAGAATTGGCTGCCTGCCCTGGGAATAAATATGCGTGCAGGCACACCTCAAGGGCTAGCCTTTAAGCAGCAGTGAGGTGGCTGCTATTGCCCTTCTCTACACTAAAAAGTAACGGGACCCTTTTCCTAAAACTTGACTTCTAGTCTTCACCTCCACAGCACACATGCAACATACTGACAGCCAATCCAACACTTATATACAGCCCACCTTGAAAGTTCACCTCTTCGACACCTGTCAATCAAATCAAGTGTCATGTGTTAATGAGCTCTTATTTTAAAATGTATGGGACAAAAATATGTTTTGGACTTCAAAAAGTCCAAACGTAAGGGAATAACAAAGGCAACGTCTCAACTTCTAAGAAAATGTAGTTTGTGCAAACAGGAAATGCTGAATACTATTATTTAATAATCAGGCTGAAAAACTGAAAATGACATTTGGCTTTATCTCTAAAACTGTACTAGGGAATATCAAAACAAAGAGCTTGCAGGAACCACCTCGATTTCTTAGCCAAACAAACAATTCTGATATTTTATTTCCAGTGTTCTAAGACAGTTCAGATCAATTGATTAAATCTCACACTTATATAGCAAGCAGCAGATAACTGTGTGCCACCTGGCTGTCTGCAGGCCATTTTCCCTCCCATCAGGCCAAGTGCAGAAATGACCCACCATCTACAGCAGCTCAAACTTCAGAATAGTTTTGGTGTGCTGCTTTTTCAAATGATGTTTTACTAAGGACTTTTACTAATGCAATTGGCTAACTATATTGTAATACATTCATCTGAGGAAGTGAATTCCTCACTTAAAAGAAAATACATTTAAAATAGAAACATTAAATGCTTCATGAACTTAAAAACCAGGCAGCAACAGCATCCCCCATTTTGAATTGTTCAAGCAACACTTCCAGCACTCGGCTCACTGACTGTGTTAACATAGGTACGGTATGCAAGTTCCTGCATTCTTTTTGAGATTTATTTTAAACCAGTGTAACCAGTCTAGTTTCTCTTTTTGTTCTGTAAGGTTCTGTAAGGAAAGCTGCAACTTTCTTCCTCAATAAGTTTAGTGAATTGATGTTCAAATAATGTAACAATATTAAGTGTTCCCAAGTCACTCTGAGAAAATATTATAAATGATCTAAATGAGAACTATATTCCTTTCAATTACAGTGAATATTACACAATCAAAAATGTTGACAGAAATATTAAATCAGCCCACCTCTACGCGCCTTTCTGATATTGGCTGTATTGAGCAAGCATTTTGTAAGAGCAAATATTACTTCTATTTTCAGGGCAATGACACCAGATTCATGAACCAAGTTCACCTACCGCATTAGTTAAGAGGCTGACACAAAGATTTTTAAAAGCAGTTTGATCCTTCATAAAGTTCCATTTTCCAAATCGGGAAAAAAAAAAAAAAACAGGAAAATTTAGTAACTACAGCCTTGCACACAAAGTGCAGCATAACCAAGTACATTTTTCCGACTAGTCTGTGTGTTTGAAAACACACATATTTTAGACTTCTGCAACTGCATCTATTGGTGGTCTTTCTTTGAAACATCCAAGCCTACCCAGGTATGACAGCTCCATAGTTATGTGTTTGACTCGTACGTGCCCATGAACATGTGAGTTGGAAAAGGGCATCCCACCACTCTACCCAGAGAGGGTACGGGAGACCTAGAGGCCTCAAGCACGAGGCAACCAAGCCAGATATTCCACGTACAGAGGTTTTTGCGCACAGGGTACGCCGTGCTAGAAGAAAAAAATCAATCTGCTCCTACCTTGCTCCTGCACGTAGTATGCCAAAAACAAATCAAGCTCCTTAACTGATACTGTGATGTGATGTGGCTGGACACAAAGTGCTGGGTTTGTGCAATGTGGGGACTTCATGAGCCGCTCTCCATCGGTACTTTCCAAGGGGATGCCTTTGAACAGGATCACCATGACTAGATCCAGACGCCAGACTTTGTCTGCCTGTCGCAGGCAGTCGATTCTCCTAATCTTACCCTTCTGGTCGGGATTGGATAAGACACAGCAGGGGTGCTTCTTGCCAGTGACGGTGAGCACAAAGTCCTCCCGGTACTCCTGGCGGATATCTTTGCGCAGTTTGGCCAGGAGCCTGGATGCCCACTTCTGTTTGATTTCAGGCTTTTCACTGAGAAGCTCATCTTTGACTGCTCTTTCTTCATCCTTTGACATTCGCTTCTCATGCTTTTTAAAGTACTTGCGTTTTCGAGCCTGTAGGTTAAACCAAGTATAGGCGATTGCACGGACATGTGGAAGAAGTGCCTCAATGAATGGGTGAAATTCATCCTGTGGAAGAAGAGGGTAGGGGAGAGACGTACATAGTTTAATTTTAAAAGCTCCAGAAATGAGACCACTACATACTCAAAAGTAAGTACAACAAGTTACACAGAAAAATCACATTCAGTTCCCATTTAAAATGATCAAAACAGAAGGACAAGAAGCAATAAAGTATGCTGTGCTGCCCCCTTCCCACAAAAATCACTGGTCAATTCTCCCTCCTGCAAAGAAAATAAAGCTTAGATTTTCTATTTCCATCCTGGCCCCAACCCCCCTCTTGCCCACCCTCAAGCCATGCACTCTACATTCCTTAAAATATATGCAACCAAGGTGCCTGGCACCTAATTCAGTGTTTAAATATTTGATTGACCAAAGAACACCAGGCAGTACCATTTTACAATGAACACAGTGAGGTGTTTGGTGTTTGATTTGGTTTGGTTTGGTTTTAATCGGAGCCGAGCTGCTCAGAAGGCAGGAGCGATGCCATAGTTCATTACTCTTCTCTGTGGCACAGAAACACAAAGCATATAGCTGCTCAGCGTCATGCCACACAGTTCCCGCTTTTGGAGCATGCTCTCAGCAAGAGGCTGCTGGGGGCACAGAGAGCATGCGCCATTAAACTTGATCCATTTTCTTATCAAACGTCCAACATTCCAACACTGAAACAGCACCATTCCAAGAGTGGTAACTAGAGAAACCGGTATACAGTGAGAGAAAGTGGGCAAAGGACACAGTTGGTCCTATCAGTGTCCTGAACTGAAGGTTTGCACACTTTGAGCTGTGCGTTCCCTCTCAGCACCAGCTACACACACATCCACATATACTCCCATGCTCACTCACAGGCACACACACACACCCTCGTGCTTTCAGAGAAAAGTTTTTAAAGTTGCAAACAAAAAAATGACATGAATGTTCTTTGGGCAAGCTTCCTAGAGACTTACGAAGCCCCCACAGAGTCAGTTCATTTGCTAACCGATCACATCAGTATGGCAATTATTCTAAACCCCTTAAAAAAAATCAATTGGAGGTGAACAATGAATAATGGCAACTTGGCACCAACTTCACATTCTTTGTGTCTCTGCTTGCGGTGGCGGGGTGACACCAGGAGCACACTGCTGGTCAGTAATGTCACTGCTTTTGTGGAATCCATACAGTGTTATTTGCCACATAGAATGAATTTTCAAGACAGGATGGGAGGATCGGGGTGGGAGGGGGGAATACAGCCATGTGCTCGTGGATCCGCACGTGCATAGGTTAAGTAGTATCCGACTTTCGAATCAAGCCGTTTACCTTTATGTCTCTGCCTGTTTCTTGCCTGTTTCACTCCAGCCTTTCTCAAGGGAGAGGGCAGTGAGGAGTAGCAGATCTTCGTTACCTACAGATCCGGCAGGCTCTCTCCTAAGGTACTCCGCGTTTCTTTATTCCCTGACTTAGGTAAAACTGTCTCAGAAGCCAAGGCCTACTGGCTATTCAGAGAAAGCACTTACCGTCCCATTCATGCACCCTGGGTGAACACAGTAGCCCAGATCTGAAGTGAAAGGGAACTTTGCGACCATTTTCTAATCATACTGCCTACAACGTCATCCCAAACACAAACTAACGTTACCTAACTGATGGTGTCCCCCAAGTTACATACTTATGTCAAAGTCAACAACACACTTATGTGAGTCACACTTAACTAAGAAGAAATTTTCTTTAACCAGCCGACTGGCTAATTCAATTAGGTCAAGATGATGAAAATACAATTAATGCTGTTCTAACAAGCAAGGGGTCCCCAAACTTCTATATGGCTAGGAATGCATTTTAAACATGAAACTTAAGGTTTTAACGATAAAGACTGCAACATGTTAGCAGTCTGCAGCTCAGATACGCTGAGTGTCCTATTCAACCAATAATGTAGTTACCAAGTGTTCTAACATAACTGCTGTAAGCAGAGTACGTATGAATCAAAATTTTATAACAATGCAGAATGCACATGACTACATCACAGCATGAGGCATAACCAAATGCCATAGAGGAAATCATTAAACCGATCAGTAGTTTCCAGCAGCAATTTGAACAATTCGGTTACTATGCGAGCACATTAAACTAGGCCATGGAAAGAGTTAAACCACAATCTGCTCTTTGTGTGGGAAGCCAGCCCTGGTCACAGCAACCACAGCCCGTGATAAGACCTCCCTATCTCCACACACTTTCTGATGCCATGCTTTTAGGTTTCAATGCAAACTACAAAAACTTTGCTTATCCCCCTTCAAAATACATGCAAAAGGAAAGCCAGTTCAAGGAAATGTGAACTTAAAGGTGCTTGGGGAACTCACTTCCTATACTCTGACTTTTACTATGATTTATTGAGATGACTGGGAAGCATACATATAGGCACTTATAAGCTAGAAACTTCAGACGGTAAAGTGCACAAGGGATAGAGGGCAGTGCTGTGTCACTCATTTTACACTTGCCATGTTTTATAAAATGAAATATTATTTTAACAGCTAATAAGCGATTCAGCAACATTTAGGGTCTTCTATTCTAAACTATTATGCTCAGTGGCATTTCATTTTCTTATAACAACACCAAACGCAGTTTGATTAAATTTAGTTAAGTCTCAATATTAGACCAGACATACCCTCTTTCAAAAAACGAACCTCAAATTTTTAATAAATAATTTTAAACAATCAGAATGCAAAGTGGAACGCTGCATTTGGGAAGTCGGGCAGATACTTAGCAAATGTAAAGCAAAAAACACTGTTGTCTAAGGTTGCCCTGAGTTTGCCATCAGTGATGTCAAATACTGTTTTAAAACATGTATTTTTCTTTGTTGATAAATAAAAGTGGCATACTTTCCCAGACTGCCAATTTGTCTTATTAATATATTTCAGGTTTCCACTATTAGGTGGATTCCTTTCAAAGTGACACACTAATTTGACAAGGACACATACCCCTCACCTTATAAACACACACACACAATGATTCTAAGTGATCTGTTATGTCACATACATTTCTGCATGAACATGTCTAAATGTCATCTCCGAAGTGTGACTGTTTTCTGATATTGAATAGTAATATATTCCTTAGGATTGCAAGTGACATGAATATGGAACATAGCAACTGCCCTCACTAAAAAAAAAAAAAAAAAAAAAAGTTTAAGGTTTTCAAATGTTCTAAATAACTCTAAACAATAACAAGGCACATACATGATTTCAGATGCAATGGCTCTATACTAAAGTAACATATACCTTGCTTTCTCAGACTTTATTGAAATGCACCGATGTTCACTTAATTCTTTCTCTTTTTAAAATTCCTTTACTTGAACTAAATGTATAAAATACCCAAGGCACAAATTTCCAGTAGAAGAATAAATAGTCTTAATTCTAGCAGGCATGCTTGTTTTTCTGCACAAAAGGAATGGAAAATTAATGTAATACAGAGGAGGACGAGCAAATACTAAGTGTTCTTGACACATCACTATGTAGAAACTAAATCATGGAAAAAAAACTACTTCCAAAACCTGAAGGACAATGGGAGAAAAGAATATTCAATGCCAACATCAATTGGATATTACACTAAGAGTTTACATTGCGTCTTTTAAAAGCAAATAGTAAATCATATCTGAATTTTTGTTTAATACCTGGTTGTACTGATAAATAAATACTGATTTACAATGATGCATTTGATATTGTACTATATCACTTGTAAAAATATCTGCTTTCAAGGTAGCTCTTTCCAAAGTTAAGATTCTAAGACCTAGCTACCTTACTGCTACTAGCGACACACTAGAGTTTTCAATCCACTACAACTGGCACTTCAGTTTGTGTTTATGCATCCTTAAACGGGCTGAGCGTTAGCTATGAGGTTCTTGCAATGCACAGCTGAACCATGGCTCTCATACAAAAATGACATTGTTCGTGTATCCTTACTTTTGCAACACCTTGCATGACCCATAAAGTCACACAAGGATTAACTGAGAATTCTATAGCCAAAATTCCTTCTCTCGTATAGGCCTAAATCCCCAAAAACAGTTTTAATACACCGGCTTAGATTTATATTATTAAAATGGTAGAGATAATCAGTCATTATGATTTAGTGTTGCAAGTATGTACCCTCGAATAACAATGAGGTAGCTGAGTGATTACGCTGTGTATATGCTCCGAACATTCCATATGTCACAATGCTGCAATATTTACTTTTGACTTAAAAGTTTTTGAGATAAAACTAGTGGTTTTTTTACACCATACGTAAAAGAAACTAAAAAACATAACGCGATTTGTGTTTCAGTCAACGCTGGCAATATAAATATAAATGCAAACAGTCCTCTCCAGGTGAAAAGAAATGATACAATACTTTGTAAGTGAAAAGCTTACTTCGAATTTGTTTTCTTTGATCTCGGTGCAAAAATAATATCAAATAGATGTGGCTTCCCAGAAAGAGAAAAATATCTGCCCAATGGGTAAATATTAAAGGTAACTTGTGAACATAAAAGCAATCTGTTATACCTGAAACAATCTCATCACATTTATTGGTTATTGTCATTCATTGCTCTTAAAATACAAATGGCTGAGCAACTCCTTTCTCTAGTTTTTGTTAAAGTGCACATTTACTTGCTTAAAATAGCCATATCTAAGTTAATCATACTCAGATGCCAAACAAAATATAAACAATAAAAAATGTGTCAGCCAAAAAGCTACAGGACTGTATCCAACCACTGAATAAGCTTTATCATTGTTTTCATCTTCATTCACAATTTATGAATGCCTCAGTCCTTTTGAATCACAATGGCTTCTAATTGTCATACAACTGAAATCTTAATTATTTGTCTATTATAAAAATGCATCATCATGCATTAGACTTTAAAAAAAACTGAACACACCCAAGACTAGCCAACACTTCATTACCTGTGTAGGTTCAGACCAATGTCTAAGAAAATGATTATCAATTGCCAATCTTGACATGTGTTCTTCAAAACTGAACCAAAGTGTCCCTTCCGCCTAAGGTTTAAAATGCTGTTTTAAATAACAGTTCTGCGCTAATATCTAGTTAGTCCTCTGGGCAGCGGTGAAAACGGCCCCAGGTAAGTCTGTTCAAGTCTCCACTTTTCCAATTTGACCATTTGGTTTCGAGAGAGATAAGTTGCGGTTTTCTTCTCGAAGTACACAGTGTTTTTAATCCATAATATTGTTCCTGAGGCTTTAGGCTAATTTTCAAAGTTTTTTTTTTTAAAGCTTACTTTTCTAAGTACTCTTTTACGCCTTATGAAACAAGCCCAAATATCACCAAACGAACAGGTCTCCAAAGTGAGCAAGTCCTAAAATTCCTTAACATTCACCACCAACAACTAACTGGTGTCAACCTCAAGACCGCCCTTGAGTTGCGGTCCCTGGACAGCCCAGAGTGCGGGTCACCACGGACCAAGGCTTCAAGCTCCCCAAACACAGAGAAGGAATGAGTCTCGGACCGCAACTCCAGACTTCGTTGCCCGCCCACCCCTGCAGCGCGGAGTCCAGGGCGCCCACACAGACTCGAGTGCCGAACAAGTCCCCTCGGCCAAGTTCACGGGCAGTGCCCCGAAAGCACCTCTGCAGCCCAAGTCCGCCTCCGCGCGCCAGCGGCCCAGAGGCAGAGCAAGCACCCTAGGCGAGGATGCAGCGCTGCAGCCCGCACTTGGGGCACGGCTCTGGGGGCTCACGCTCTGGGCTCCAGGCTCCTGGCTGCGGGCCCCTGCCCTACCCAACCCCCAGCAGCCTTGCCGGGCAGGCCGATGCCCACTCCTCGTGCCAAAGGCGCGGCGCTTGGTGGGCGCGCACGTTGACCACAGGAGAGGGCCCTGGCTCTGTCTACCGCGCGGCGCCCCAGCAAAGCCCGCTGCAACTCCGGGACGTTTTTTCCTCAGGGGTGGTCCCCTGGAGGTGCGGAGATTTTAGGGAAAACCTAAAAACTGTCCGCTTGACGAGAGCCCTCAAACCAAACAAAAGGCACTTGGGGCCGAAGAGAAAGCTAGAGAAAGCGACCAAGACATGTACCTGAGTGAGACAGATGGGAGAATACATCATGACTTCGCCTTAAAACACACTTTCCTGGAGATGCCCACGAAAATCTTCCAGAAGCGAGAATTTCATCTATTCATTTTACAGTCATGGGAGCCCCGCGGTGCAGATCAATCAGGACGGGGTACAGCGCCGGATCCTCGTAACTTCACCTCAGACCCAGTCCTCCTTAAATAGCCAAGCTTCGAGTCCGCTGGGCGCGCTGCGTTTCCCGGGGTGAAATCCAATCTACACCTCGAGCCCTCCTGCCGTCCGCGCGCACCGGCCCTGCCCGCCGAGCCGCCGCCGCCGCCGCTGCCGGCTGCTTTTCGCCTGGGTTTGGGGTTTGCTTTCTGTTGTGCGGTGCTGGTGGTGGTGGTGGTATGGACGGGGGCTTGGGGGTGCGCGAAGGTTCGGAGTGGGTTGGATCGGGGTGGTGGTGGTGGCGGTGAAATGCTTTTTCAAAAAAGGCGGGGAGGGGGGCGCAAGAGGGCGGGCGGGAGGAGAGAGAGGAGAATGTGTCACCGCGCTGGGAAAGTTCAAGGTTACAGCCCGGAGCACTGCGGCAGGATTCTGGAGTGGCGGCCGCAGGCGAAACTTTGCCGCGAGCCGACCATGTGTGTGCGCGAATGGGGGGGGAGCGCGAGCGAGTGCGCGCGGGTGGCGGGGTGCGCGCGGGAGAGGGCCGGGTGGGGGCGGGGAGGGTGGGGGGAGCGGGGAGGGAGGGGGCGCGAGCGCAGATCTCCGGGGCGGAAGAGGCTTGCGGTGCGCGGATCCCGGCTGCAGCCGCCGGCGGCTCCTCCACGCCGGCCCGCGCCTCTGACCCGGCCCAGCGAGGAGGCTGCTGCTTCTGTTGCTGTTGCCGCTGCGGCCCAGAGCCCGCGGGGGAGCAGCAAGGATCTCCAGAAAAAAAAAAAAAAAAATCCCCAACGATAAATCTCGCTCTCCCGCTCGGCTCCAAACTCCTCTCTTTTCTGCTCTGGGCTTTTTCACCCCCCCTCCCTTTCGCTCTTTCTTTCGTTGCAAAACTTGGAAGTTGAAAAATTCACCGGTTCCACCCTCTGGACCCCGCTCCAGCTCTCTCCAAATCAGACTTAAGGATTGTTTTATTATTTAATTACACAATCATCCCTTTACTCCTCCTCCTGCAAACGCGCATTCCTTTTGCACCAGCCTCTCCACACCCCCGCCCCCCACCTTCCTCCTCCTCCCGCTCCTCTCCCTCGCTCGCTGGAGCGCTAGCTTTCATTCGTGAGAGGTATCGTGCCGGTGCCACGGAACCATGACTTCTGATATTTTTTTCTTCCCAACAACCCTTCTTTCCGCTCCCCACCCCGCCAATCGCGCGCACAAATACATGCACCCCCCGAACGCCCGCCCTGGAAGTGGTTTTTCGGACTGGTTGCGGACTCTTAAACCGCGGGACATCCAGTGGGAGAAGCACTGAGCTGTTCTGGGCCCCTGGAAGGAACGAATGGAAAATTCCCTCACAACCAAGCTACCCCCGCCGGGCGCGGGCACAGCAAGGACCTGGAGCCCGAGGAAGAGAGGGCCTGAGCAAAGTTGGGCTCAAGTAGTTGGGGCGCGGCGCCCCTGCTCGCCCGGCCCTAGCGCGCGCGGGAAGGAAGGGGTGCGGGGGTCTTTCCGGTCTCCCCGAGGCGGGCCCGTGCCCGAGGCAGCTGCGCCCCAGCGACGCACCGCGGTTTGCCGCCCTCCCTAGGGGTGCTCCGCGCACGTGGCCTCGCTCGGAGCGGGAGGACCGGCGGTGCCGCCGCCGCCTCCTCCCCTTCCCTCCTCCTCCTCCTCCCTGCGCCCGGTTCCGCGCTCCTCCTGCGGCCCCGCTGGCAGCGTCCCAATCCCCACCCCCCAGGGCCCGGGGCGCCGGCGGAAAGCGGCTCCCTCCCCGCCGAGGCGCAGGCAGGGCGGGGCCGGGCGGGCGGGGACGCGCGAGGGGTGCGGGGCTGCCGCAGCCCCCTCCGGAGCAGCCGGGGCCACTGGGCGCCCCGCGCGCGCCCGGCTCCCGCGCCGCCGCCCCGCCCCCACCCGCCGGCGCCGCGGGCCGCGTGAATGAGCCGGAGCGGGGGTGTCGAGGGCGGCGGTTCGCCTGGCACCCTTTTACGCTCCGGCTCACGCTCAACGCCGCCCCCCAAATTCCGGTGTTCCGCAGGGGCGGGGGAGGGAAGGTGGAATCAAAGGCTGCCCAGACAATAGAGAAAGGAAAAGTGAGCGCCTAGGGCTCCGCGCCCACCTAGCGGGGTTGCCGGGGGTGGGGGGGCCCCCAGTGGAACCGAGGAGCGGCCTCGAGCCAGCCGGGCCGTCCCGCTGTCGCCCGGGCTGCGCGCACGGGTGTCTGCCCCGCCTGGCGCTCTCCCAGTGCATTCCCGCAACTTTTCTCCCGCCTTCTGCCCACCGTCTCCCCTTCTCCTCCAAGCGGACCCGAAGGGACCAGTGTTCCCCCACCCCCCACCGCCCCGCACCAAGTAGGAGTTATCCACATCAAGCATTTCACAACAACACATCAAGAAAAGTAGGCAGGTTCAAGTCAACCATGAAATGGTCACTTTTTAACCCCGTCCTGTCCTCATTAGGGAAATGCTCAAACACAGTCGGTTTTCAAAGAGGGCCCTTAATGAGGCGCGCTTGCCAAGTCTACCAGCTGCAGCCCCCGTAAACGAAGGGCCGGGGGAAGAAAGGCGCTGGGGGTGGGGAGGGGCCCAGGAGGGGTGTTGCGGGTCCGGGACGACAGGTAAAGTTGGGAAACTGCAGAAAGTCTCCGAGTTAACCCTTTAGGGGTCACAGGCGCCCACGCCCACCGCCAGCAAATCTCAGTCTTAATTTCCTTTGTGCGGGTCATTTCTTCTTTTTGAAAAGCTGGGATAAGGTTGACAGTCTTTCTAGATGAAAGACGTGAGGTGGTAGCTGGGGGTTAATCCCAAATAAACACTTATTTCTGCCTTTTTTTTTTTAAGCAACCTGGTCTTGGGTTTTAAGAGGGAGAAAAATTATCCCCAGACAAAGTAAAATCCAAAGCAGCACTTTATCTTGCACCGGGCACTGCTTCCTTTCTGCGCACCCGCCCGCCGTCTGAGAGGGGAGGGGGTGGGGAAGTGATAATACCAGCTTTAACTACTGGAGTTTCCCTTTGAACAAATATTCAATTTAACCCGAGTTAATTTACCATAAAAGACATTCCCCTTGGCACGAATGCTCCCCTGTCCTCGAGCACACCTCTTTGAATGCCCGGATTCAGAAGCCATTATTTCGGGGTCTCTTTAAAAATCCAGCGCCCATCTCTCTCCTCTCCCTCCCTCTCTCCCTCCTCCCAACACCCACCCACCCCCCACCCCCGGCGCTCCTGGCACCGGGAGAGCTCTCCTTTCAGCCCCCCGAGCCCAGAACCAGCCGTTGTCCCCTGGCAAAGAGGCCCGGTGCTGAGCCCCGGACGAGTGACTCCGTTCCTCCTCCCCTCGTGAGCTTCCCTTCCCAGCAGACACCGTGTCCCCTTGCCACCCAAACTAGATTGCATCCAAAAGTTGCTCACAAGCTTACAAAAGAGGGAAAAAAAAAAATTTAAAAAACCAAACTGACAACCATTACACAGAAGAGCCCACAAAAGCTGCAGCAGCATCCAGCAGGGGCGAATCACCAGCGCCAGACCCAGGTAAGACCGCAGAGAAGGGAAGCCGGCTGAGGCCTCCCAGAGCCATCTCTTAGGGGTTCAGATGTCTGTCAGAGGCTCCAGGTGTGTAGGGTGCTTGTGCCTGGGTTCACTTTGTTGGGCCAAAAAGGATATAATTTGGGGGTTTGGTTTGTTTCCAAGAAAAAGGAAAATGAGAAAGCAGTAATGGTGAGGTGAGGAAAACCCAAAAGGAATGACGAATGAGCCACAGAGATGTCCTGGAAGCAGGGCTTGTGGGAGTGCTCCGTAGATGGGCCTGTGGTTCTCAGACTCTGGGGGTCTGAATCAGAATAGATGATCGCCTCCTCTCTTCCCCACCCCCCAAAAGAAAAAGTCCAGCCAGTGCCAAGGTCACTACAGGCCTTCCCAGTAAGAAGTCTAGGAAAATCTTGAATGGTGGTCTACAGGATTTGGGTAAAAGGAGACAACTGGCTACTGGACACCCACACCTAACTGCTGCCCTAGTTTTAGCAGTGCTTAAGGTCCCAGGCAGAAGAGGGAACAGAAGGAACCTGGAAACTACTTCTATTTATCCACTCTTCCTGCCCCACCCCAGCACATCTGTGCCATCTGTATTGACAGGGCTTTTTCATCCTCTAATGCTAGCAAAATGAGCCAAGTAGACAATGGGACTTACCTCTCTTCTTTGCCTTCCCACACTGAAGGGGTTAAAGCACTGGCTTGACCAGCTACTGGTATGCACCCCAAAACCTGGCCTTGTGCAGGACTCCCTGCTTAACTCATTATTCCCACTCACAAGGGAGGGAAGCTTCCAGCTCTTAGGAAGTGCACTGATTTCTGCATGCAACGCCGGAGTTCCAGTGCCTGGCCCTTCCAACCCCAACTTCATATCTACAAGCCAGGATTTTGTGTCCTCAGTGTGAGCCTTTGATTTACATCTCAAGTATCTCCCCAGATTGTTTTTCTTTTAACCTTTTTCTTTCTAAAGGAGCTGCAGCTACAGGTTGCAAATCCTGGTTTTTTTTTTTAAAGGTTTCTTAGAGCTTAACAAAGCTGTCATTTTCAAAACCCCCAGACCCCCTCTTTTTTTTTTTTTTTTTTTTTTTTTTAGCTTTTTCATGTGATTTGCAAGGAGGCTCTGGAAGGCAATTCCACACACCCTAGCTGCATCGCCAATATCAATATTTAAAAACTAAATACAAAAGAGACAGATGACCTCCTGACCCCAGGAAATAGGCCTGCAAACAGCAAGTATCCATTCTCTTTTGCCCAGAGACCTACCCTTCTTCCAAAGGAACCACAAAAAAAATCATACATGTGTAGCCTGGAAAACACAACTTTATATCCACAAAGAGGACAAGCAAAAATCCACACCAAAAATGCATATATAAACAACCAACAAGTACTGAAATTGCCTGCACTTGATGGGAATTGCAAAATCATGCCCAACTCTCTGAGCTCTTAAACTACTACTGTCAAATTAGGGTAGCAATTTTTCCCCACTGGGGAATTCACAACCAGTTAGTTTCCCCACCCCTACTGCCAGCCCTTTTCCTTTCACTGAAATGAATAAATAACCTTAGACTTTTTCCTTTCCTCTGGGAGCTGTTTGGTGTCCCCTGAGGACAAAAACTAAACGAGAAAAATGACACTGTTAATAATGCCACTGCTGAAATGCCTGTACTCAACTGTCTAAAAAAAAAAGAAAAAGAAAGAAAGGAGACAGAAAGCAAGCCCCACTAAGTGTATCTACATATAGGATCCATTTACAAGTTACAGTTCCAAATCCACCCAGACTGGCTGCATTCCCCCATTCAGGTTAGATGGTGTCCACTTCTTTACAGCTGCCAGTTCATCACAGAAATTCCCAACTTCAGAAGTCATTTGCTCCGCAGATTATAAAGTCAACAGATTTTTCACACCACGATTTGAAATTTGAACAATCTTAATAGTTGCCTCCCTTCATTGATAATGCTACAAAGTTTGCAGAGGCTCTCACACAGCCTCTGCCGCT